GGGGAGTGGGGGGTGGGGGGAGGGGAGGGAAGGGGAAATTTTGAAAAGGAAACGAGGGGAATGGAATGGGAAAGCAAACCTGTAAAGATGTGGCGGTTAGGTCCCACCTGTGCTATGTTAGTGGTGATTTCTTATGATGAATCTGGTCAGTAAACTGGTTACATTCATGCTAACTTAAAGCACACTAATGCCCTGAAGTTGTCTTCTTGGATGCAGAAAAGGGTGTGTAGAATATGATGGTTTGGTTGCATAAGTTTTTTTTTTTTTTTTTTTTTTTTTTTTTTTTTGAGGTTTGATTAGTCTGTCTATTCACCTCCCGGTTGGCTATTCGTCATCTGGCGACACATCTGAGTGGCTATTCATCTGGTGGGCAGCTAGTTATCTGACTGGCTATTTATCTGGTTTAGCGTCTTTAGACTGGTTTGGCAGTCGTCTGGGTGGCTATTCATCTGGTTGGTTGGCTATTCATGTGGTTGGTTGGCTATTCATCTGGTTCAGACTGGTTGGCTACTCATCTGGGCGGCTATTTTATCTGGGTGGCTATTCATCTGGTTGGTTGGCTATTCATGTGGTTGGTTGGCTATTCATCTGGTTCAGATTGGTTGGCTACTCATCTGGGTGGCTATTTAATCTGGTTGGCTATTCATCTGGTTGCGTGGCTATTCATGTGGTTGGCTATTCATCTGTGTTCAGACTGGTTGGCTATTGGCTATTCATCTGGGTTCAGACTGGTTGACTATTCATCTAGGTTCAGACTGGTTGGCCAACTCACATGGTTGGTTATGTGCTTGGTGAGCTATTCAACCGGGTGTGGGTAGGCATCTGATCCGAGGGATGCGGCTGATTGACGATGTCTGGGTGTTTGTGTGGAGTGCGGAGAAGGATAAGGGGAGAGCAAAGTGGAAAGGATACTTTTTGTTTTTCGTTTTTTTATTTTTTTTAATATATATATATATATATGTCACAGCCCCTCGTTTGTTGTCCTCTTCTCCCTCTCTGCCTACAGTTTACCGGGCAGTTCTATTTGACGATATATATATATATATATATATATATATATATATATATATATATATATCGTCAAATAGCCTCCTGATGAGTCGGTGAAACTCCGACGAAACAGTTTGTCACAGCCCCTCGTTTGTTGTCCTCTTCTCTCTCTCTGCCTACGGTTTACCGGGCAGTTCTGTTTGTGACGATATATATATATTGTATATATGTAAGGGCGACGGGCTTGAGATATCATCGTAGAACTGACCGGTTGTAGGTAATTCAGAAGTGTGTAATATTTTACTCATCTGCTTCTAGTGGAGTTCGAACTCTGCACCTGGGCCGTGGTCCCACTAGCGAAGGGGATAGGATAGAAATCCTGAATCTGGCTATGTTTTATGCCGGGATACAGAAAAGCAGTTCTATCTCGATTTCCTGCTCCTGTCCTCAAACACGTCCAGATTCAGGCATTCAATCCGATCCTCTTTGCTAATGGGACCACGGCCCTGGTCTGTATTTCAGGATTTGAGTGGTGTACCAAAGGATTCTGACGCTGTCCTCGACTGCGTACGATTAGAAGTTAGAGCCTGATTTTTTTATTTTTATTTTTTGCCTAAGAACCAATGTCTTTGCTAGGAGAGTTTTTTTCTTTTTTTCTTTTGAAAGAACCAATGTCTTTGCTAGGAGAAGTGGTACGACCACTCCCTCCTAGGCCCACCTGACCTTTGCAGAGAACTGACAGGGTTTTTTTTTTTTTTTTTTCACAAAGAATTTGAAAAAAACAAAAACAACCACAATATATTATTAGCAACTATTAACTCGAAATGAACGAGGCTGGGGTCCCGACATTCTACCCGGCGGACGGGGATTTCTTGGGGACCACGGTGACTGTATCTGACAAGAACCAGGTTACATCCGTCCCCACGTAGTAATAGGTTTATCGCCGCGGCCTGTGTTTGACCTCAACTGGGGTTCTTGGCCGTCCGATGTAAGATCTCTTCTCTTTAACATCCGGCAGTCGCCGTTCGTTGTTGGACTTTGGATGGGCCAATGTCAGACGTGTGATTTGAAAGTGCGCTTTTCGAGCTGTGCGATGTCCGTATGTTTACTGATGCATCGCGTTTGATGTCCTTCTCCGTTCGATGCGGCGGCCCGTTTGATGTCCTTCTCGGTTCGATGCGAAGGGCGTGAGTTGCGGCGGAGACCGAGCATTTTGCCAGTAGCTGTCTTGTGTGCCTGATTGAAACGACATCCAACATGGCATGCACACGTTCCCATACACATGTGCAGTGACAAGTGACCTTTGGAGGGGAGCAATCCAAACCTCACTGTATGATAAGAATTAAGTACACAAACACCGAAAATAGAATTGAAATAAAAATCAATTCTAAATACCGTCTCTCCCCAAGTCAATCAACAGCACAAAAAATTTCCAAGAAAATCCCAACCACGTTATCAACACGCACGGACCAATTACATACGAAGCTTCATCGAAGTATCCGGGAGTCTTCTTCTTCCTCACTCTTCCTCAAGATCTAGCTATGGTGCTTGCAAAGCACCCGACCTAACAAGCCTGGCAATCGCCACACCCTCTCATAAATCCAACACCCCTCTCTCTTCCCCAGTCAAGAAGCTCGCTGCAGATGAAGTGTCCACTCAGCAGGGGAGCGCAGCTACCAGGATGATGATGAAGAAGAAGCAGCAAGTCGATGAAGATGATGATCTTCTGTGACGTCGTCGAAGAAGAAGAACCGCTGAAACTGCGGCTTCGGTGGCAGCTGACCAAGCCCAAACAAGCACACGAGTATGAGGAAGCGCTCATCAGCACTTGGCGCCGATCCCAGCTTTGTCGCCAATAAAGCTGGTCGTCCGGCCCCAGCTAAGGCCGCCAGCGGCATGTGGAGAAGATGTCCTGCATACATGCCCACAATAGCGCA